TTCTTTTCTCATTCCCTCCCCCCAACTCAGGCCCTGATCAGCGGAGGCTGGACCCCTGCAAAAAACTTTCTGAGGTTTTTAATCAGAATAGTACTGAATAAATTTGGAGAGAATTAACACTTTCAGTTTTGAGTCATGTCATCTATAAACATGGTATATTCATTTATATCATATTTACTTTCTTTTTATTATAAAGATGTGGGGTAAATTCAGTGTTAGGTATATAAACATTGATCATGCAGGTACCCTTGTTGATGAGGTATGCCCCTCCCTCTCCCAGCAGTTTCCCTCAACTGCCAATCCTAACCCCCTTCCCCTGACAGTTTTCAACTACTGCCAATCGCTTTCTTATAGAATGATAATTGTTCAGGGTCTATTTATGAGTGAGAACATATGGAACTCTGATCTTTGTTTCTGTGATAAATCACTGAGTATGATCGACTCCTCATCCATCCAAGTTGCTGCAAAGTCCATATATTTGTCCTTCTTTATGGCTGCATAATATTCCATTGTGCATATGTATCACTTTTTTAAAATCCAGTCTAGCTTCGATGGGCAACATGGTTGGTTCCATGTTTTTGCTATTGTGAATAGTTCTCCCAGGGACTGAGGGTGTAGGGGCCTTCGGTGCCCTGGGAGCAGGGAGCTCAGTCCTGTGCAATGAAGAAGTTCCCACCCAAAGGCGAATAGGGCCTCTGGCTTTTTCTCACTGCCAGGGGTTGAGAAAAAGAAAGTGAACTGAGAGCAGTGGAACTCTGTGGTCCGTGCTCTGCAGAAGTGAGGTGCATGGTAATTCTCCCAGTGAATGCACGATAGCCCCCTTTCTCGGGCTGTTAGATATTTATGTAGTTTCCAGCTTTCAGTCAGCGCTATAGACTGCTTCCTCTGCAAACAGAGCTTGCTTTGAATTTCAAAATAAACTTCTAGAAGCAGAATGACTGGGTTCGAGGGTGTGGACATTTGAATGTCCTCAATATAGACAGTCAAATTACTCTCTGAAGATAGTGCTCTCAGGGTCCTCATTCTGAGATTCTCTTCCAGGAAGAACAGACATTTTAAGCAAGTGACAACAAAGCAAGGTGACAAGTGTCAAGCTGGCCAGTCAGGTATAGTTTAGCATGGGAGGAGTTATGAGTGTCATATGAGGAACTCAGAAAGTGGAAGGGCAGAAGCCTTAGCTCAGTGATCAGGATCACTGGGGAACTTGTTAGAAATGCCAAACCTCAGGCCCCATCCTGACCTATTGAAATAGACACTCTGGGGACTGGGCCCAGCAAGGTGTGTGTCACCATGCCCTCTGGGTGATTCCAGTGTCTGCTGAAGTTTGGGAACTCATGCCTTGGAATGATGGTAGCAGACACTTCCGGGCACGTGGAGTCACGCAGGAAAAGACAGGATACAGATGTAGGTTCCAGGACCCAGAGAGGCTGGACATTGGTGAACCTGACCACAGTGAAAGAGACAGGGGAGGAGCTGGATGTGAGCTGATGCACACAGGGTCTTTGGGGATCAGAGCAGAGCAAGAGTGTGACCTAGGGCTCTTCATGAAGATAGAAGATAGACAGGACAGAAGACATGACAGTAACGTATTGCTGTAAAAGGGCAAAATTAAGAATGAATAATGGACAGAATTTATGAAGCACTTACATTATGCCAAAACTACCTATATCAACTCATCTAAACCTCACAACCCCAAGAGAGCTATTGTTATTACCCCTACTTTATAGACAAGTCTGAAGACGAAGTGGTTGAGTAATTTTCTCAAGATCACGCAGCAGCAAAGTGGTCAAGCCAATCTTGCCTTGTCCGCTGACCTCAGTGCCGCTACCCTTGACCCCTACCTGTGCTACTCTGCCACTCCTAGTGAGTACAAGATATCCTGTGTGAGGTCCTAGTTTGGGCCATTGGAAGAGAAAAGAATGATGAGACTATGAAGATTTAGATTTGTTCAGTAAAGGAGGAAGAAGGGGCCAGCTCCGTGGTTCATGCCTGTAATCCCAGCACTTTGGGAGGCCGAGGTGGGAGGATCCTTTGAGCCCAAGAGTTCAAGGTGAGCCTGGGCAGCATAGCGAGACTTTGTCTCTACAAAAAAAGTCAAAAAATTAGCCAGGCACGGTGGCACCTGCCTATAGTCCCAGTTACCAGGGAGGCTGAGGTGGAAGGATTGTCTGAGTCCAGGAGGTCGAGGCTGGAGCTGTGATCGTGCTACTGCACTCCAGCCTGGGCGACAGAATGAGACCGGGACTCAATAAAAAAAAAGAAGAAACCGGGCTCGGTGGCTCAGCCTGTCATCCCACGCTTTTGGGAGGCTGAGGTGAGTGGATTGCCTGAGCCCGTGGGTTCGAGACCCGCCTGGGCAGCGAGACCTCATCTCTACAATAAATCAAAAAATCAGCCGGGCGTGGTGGCACATGCCTGTAATTCCGGCTCCTCGGAAGGCTGAGGCGGAAGGATCGCTGGAGCCCCGCAGGTCGAGGCTGCCGTAGCCGGGAGCGGCCACTGCACTCCAGTCTGGGCGACAGAGTGGGACTCCAACTCAAAAAAAAAAAAAAAAGAGAGAGAGAGAGGGGGAGGAATTAGTACCACTAACACAGCTGATTGGAAGCAGCACGGGGGCTCAAGCCCGGTTCCCCCAACGTTCGTACCAAGGATTGTTTTGCCTTGTCAAATAATGACTAGACATGCTTCATGTGTCAAAGATGGTGATAATTAGCACTTATGCATCCCATTCCGGGCATGGTTTCCATTTAACTTTTACATCATCCGCATCTTACTGGAAGTTCAATCACTTAGATCACAAGAAGTCAGATGATCGTTTGTCGCCCCATGCTGCTTCCCAGTGGTATATCAAGGTTCAGCTCCGAGTCTGTCTGCCTCTGAAGTCCAGTCTGCCCACCACACCTGCTGCCTGCAGTTAGCAGCTGGCATTCGTTTAGCTCGTACCTCATGCCTGGTGCTGTGCCACCCGTAATACATGGCAGTGCCTCCCGTCAGCTCGCAGTGATTTCGAGATAGGCCATACTGTCCCCATTGCACAGATGTGGAAACTGAGTCCCAGAAAGGTTAAGTGCCTTGTCTAATTCACAAAGTCCGTAAGTGGCCAGCATTTGTGTTGTTCACCACCTGTATCTGCTCTCTGCTCTGTGGGGCATGATGAGATGTGGGAGGACTACACATCCTTGACCCTGACCTCACTCCTAGGCTTGGTCAATGTCATGTGTGTCACCTATGGGCAGAGGCTGTCAGAGCAAATTTGAAATCTACTGCATTTGCTTTGCTCGGTGTGGCTATTGTTGAAGCCTGGGACAAGGAGGAGCAGTTTCAGCCTTGAGGGTGGATGACCTAGAGAAAGATCTGCCTGCCTACAGTAGGCATGCAGTGCAGGAGAGGGACTCTTTGCTGTCGAAAGCCCCCAAGATGCCGGGGCTGTCTGTTGCCTCAGCGTCACCCAGCCCCTCTTGATGGACTCAGGGCGCTGTTGTCGGTCTGCCTCCCAAGTCCAATTTCACAATCCACATCTTGTGCCTCGGTGAATGCCTTCGAATCCAACAATACTGAGGGTTAGTCAAGAGCTAAAATCTCCCTTTTGCTTTTTTTCAGTCACTGAAAACAACGCTCCCAGTTTCTGCCCTTCCGTTGTTCTGGCTTCTCTCACAGAGAACGGTAAGTTCGTGGTCTCTCTGGTCTCTCTTACAAGAGCACCACCTCGTACATCCTCTTTCTTGTCTTCCTCCTCTTTCCTCTTGCTCTTGTCCAGCCATGCATGGCTTGTGTGACCCTTTCACATTCACGAGCTCCAGCTTCCATGGACTGGACACGGTCACGGGTAAGGCAAATACCAGCCCCATGCCCTTGCCAATGAGGAAACCAACTCATGGGAATTAGTGTAACTAACGCAGCTGATTGGAAGCCGCGTGGGTACTCAAGCCCAGTTTCCCCAATGTTCGTGCCAAAGATTGTTTTGCCTTGTCAAAGAATAACTAGACATGCATCATCCTGGAGCAGTGTCAAGGGTGGTGATATTTGTGGGCAAAAGGCAGCTCTTTATTAGTGCTAAAGAATCGGCCCAGGAACCCAAGAGCCCAGGCTGTCCTCCCTCCTGCACGTGGCACTGGCTCTCCCCATGACATGCTCTGTCTGACCACAAGGCAGCAGGAAGTGCAGGGCGTTAGGTGCAGTGGGGACGTCCGGGTGCTCTGGGTGGGGGTGAGGTGGAAGGGGTGAGGGCTGGCGTGGGCCGCGACTGCACTGTCCCCAATTCTGCTTTCCTTTGTCCGGAAATTGGAGGATCAGCCTGGGATCCAGGGATCACTCAGTCAAGAGGCCAAAGGACACTAATTTCTGTCCTGTGACATGATGTCTGGGGAGCCCTGGACATCTGTCATTATGGCCCTGGCTGGAGAGACAGAACATAGCTCGTGTGGAAAGGGATTATTTAAAGCTAAGGCTGTGGCTAAAAGTATAAAAATATCAACTCATGTCATCAGTTTCCTTAACTCAGTTGAAATAGCTGATTGTGGAGATCACATATACATTTTATTTATCTGAGCTTTCTATAGAAATGTCTATGCTGGCTGAGCGTGGTGGCTCATCTTGTAATCCCAGTACTTTGGGAGGTTGAGGCGAGAGGATTGCTTGAGCCAGCGTGTTCGAGACCAGCCTGGGCAGAATGGGGAGACCTCATCTCTACAATAAAATCACAAAAATTAGCCAGGCGTGCATCTGTAGTTCCGGTTACTTGGAGGGCTGAGGCAGAAGGATTGCCTAAGTCCAACAGGTGGAGGCTGCGGTGGCTGTGAGCGTGCCACTGCACTTCAGCCTGGGCATCAAATGAGACTCCAACTCAAAAAAAAACCCCAAAAACGTCTATGCCAAGTACTTCATCTATATGATCAGTTGTCAGCTTCCTGAAATATTATGAGGTTGGTGTTGTGACAGGTACATCATAGACGGTAGAGGTGGAGCTCAGAGAGAGATTGGCACACCCAAGTCCAAACAGATAACACAGGTCCCAGTCAGATTTTGGTCAAAACTGATTTTAAGTTTTATCAAGGTTATGCCCTAACACAGCTAAAGTGATCAAAAAGTCCCCAAAGATTTATGGTTCGAAAAACAAAACGAAACAGACTAGTTTCCTGCCTTAACCTCCACTCACCTGTCCCTTCCACTCCCAGAGGCCACCACGCTCAATCCTTGTAGCTATGTTTTGCTCCGCCTCCTCCATGTTTCTGAATTAGAACTGGGCCTTTGTATCCATGGGTTCCGCATCCGTGGATTCAACCAACCGCAGATCAGAAATATTCAGAAAAAAGCTCCACAAATTTCCAAAAAGCCAAACTTGAATGTGCTACGTGCTAAGTGCGATGTCGAATCCACGCAACTGAAGTGATACGTAGGCCTTGTGCCAGGCAGTGTAAGTAATCTAGAGATGATTTAAACTACGTTGAATCCACACGAATGAAGAACAGGGTAGGCCTTGAATTAGGTAGTATGAGTAAGCTGGAGATCATTTAAACTATATACTATTTAAAGTATGTGGAGGACGTGTGTAGGTTACCCACACATGCTCCACTCCATTTTTTTCTTTGAATTGGAGTCTCACTCCATCATCCAGGCTGGAGTGCAGTGGTACACTCACAGGCACCCCAGCATGGACCTGCTAGACTCCAGTGATCCTTCCACCTCAGTCTTCCAAGTAGCCAGAACTACAGTTGCGTTACCACGCCCAGCTAATTTTTGATTTATTGTAGAGATGAGGTCTCACCAAGTTGCCTGAACCTGAGGGCTCAGGCATCCCTCCCATAGGGCTGGGATGACAGGCTGAGCCACTGAGCCCGGCCATTTTGCATATTTTGAAAAAGAGACTTGGGCATCCGCAGACTTTAGTGTCTGTGGGTAAGGGTGGAGCGTCCTGGAACCCATGTCCAACAAATAACCAGGGACGACTGTATTTGCGAATCCCACTGTTTCTTGATTCGCCAATTGTAGAGGTAACAATGCAGTTTTGCTTTGGCAGATGAAAGCTCTGCGTTCTCTCTTTTATCCCTCTTTTTTCCAAGTTTCTGCCTTCATCCTCAAAATATAATAATATCAAGACTGAAACAAGAGAAACTCTTATTATTATGACCCTGCCAGTATGATTCACCATGGAGTCCAAAGGAATCCTAGCAGCACCTGTGGTAATTGTCAACCTCCACGTCCAAGGGTGTCAGCAGTTCCCTGTCCTCAGCCCCAGCCCTGGCGGCACCTCGTACTCCCTGGGCTCCCCAGGGTCTGTGGGGCCCTCAACTGTGTTAGGACTATCCTTGGTGGGCTCTGGGATGCTGATTGTTCCCTTGCTGAGTCCGTTGGCACACCTGTT